CTGTTAGTGAGGGAAGTGAGGTGTATTAGTGAGGGAAGTGAGGTGTGTTAGTGAGGGAAGTGAGGTGTGTTAGTGAGGGAAGTGAGGGTGTTTAATGAGGGAAGTGTGGTGTGTTAGTGAGGGAAGTGAGGTGTATTAGTGAGGGAAGTGAGGTGTGTTAGTGAGGGAAGTGTGGTGTGTTAGTGAGGGAAGTGTGGTGTGTTAGTGAGAGAAGTGCGGTGTGGTTAGTGAGGGAAGTGAGGTGTGTTAGTGAGGGAAGTGAGGTGTGTTAATGAGGGAAGTGTGGTGTGTTAGTGAGGGAAGTGTGGTGTGTTAGTGAGGAAGTGAGGTGTGTTAGTGAGGGAAGTGTGGTGTGTTAGTGAGGGAAGTTTAGGTGTGTTAGTGAGGGAAGTGAGGTGTGTTAGTGAGGGAAGTGAGGTGTGTTAGTGAGGGAAGTGTGGTGTGTTAGTGAGGGAAGTGAGGTGTGTTAGTGAGGGAAGTGAGGTGTGTTAGTGAGGAAGTGAGGTGTGTTAGTGAGGGGAAATGAGGTGTGTTAGTGAGGGAAGTGAGGTGTGTTAGTGAGGGAAGTGTGGTGTGTTAGTGAGGGAAGTGAGGTGTTGTTAGAGAGGGAAGTGTGGTGTGTTAGTGAGGGAAGTGAGGTGTGTTAGTGAGGGAAGTGAGGTGTGTTAGTGAGGGAAGTGTGGTGTGTTAGTGAGGGAAGTGAGGTGTGTTAGTGAGGGAAGTGGGTGTGTTAGTGAGGGAAGTGAGGTGTGTTAGTGAGGGAAGTGTGGTGTGTTAGTGAGGGAAGTGTGGTGTGTTAGTGAGGAAGTGAGGTGTGTTAGTGAGGGAAGTGAGGTGTGTTAGTGAGGGAAGTGTGGTGTGTTGTAAGGGAAGTGAGGTGTGTTAGTGAGGGAAGTGTGGTTTTGTTAGTAAGGGAAGTGAGGTGTGTTAGTGAGGGAAGTGAGGTGTGTTAGTGAGGGAAGTGAGGTGTGTTAGTGAGGGAAGTGAGGTGTGTTTTGTAAGGGAAGTGAGGTGTGTTAGTAAGGGAAGTGAGGTGTGTTAGTGAGGGAAGTGTGGTGTGTGTTAGTGAGGGAAGTGAGGTGTGTTAGTGAGGGAAGTGTGGTGTGTTAGTGAGGGAAGTGAGGTGTGTTAGTAAGGGAAGTGAGGTGTGTTAGTAAGGGAAGTGAGGTGTGTTAGTAAGGGAAGTGAGGTGTGTTAGTAAGGGAAGTGAGGTGTGTTAGTAAGGGAAGTGAGGTGTGTTAGTGAGGGAAGTGAGGTGTGTTAGTGAGGAAGTGAGGTGTGTTAGTGAGGGAAGTGAGGTGTGTTAGTGAGGGAAGTGTGGTGTGTTAGTGAGGGAAGTGAGGTGTGTTTAGTGAGGGAAGTGTGGTGTGTTAGTGAGGGAAGTGAGGTGTGTTAGTGAGGGAAGTGAGGTGTGTTAGTGAGGGAAGTGTGGTGTGTTAGTGAGGGAAGTGAGGTGTGTTAGTGAGGGAAGTGAGGTGTGTTAGTGAGGAAGTGAGGTGTGTTAGTGAGGGAAGTGTGGTGTGTTAGTGAGGGAAGTGTGTGTGTTAGTGAGGGAAGTGAGGTGTGTTAGTGAGGGAAAATGAGGTGTGTTTAGTGAGGGAATGTGTGGTGTGTTAGTAAGGGAAGTGAGGTGTGTTAGTGAGGGAAGTGTGGTGTGTTAGTAAGGGAAGTGAGGTGTGTTAGTGAGGGAAGTGAGGTGTGTTAGTGAGGGAAGTGTGGTGTGTTAGTGAGGGAAGTGAGGTGTGTTAGTGAGGGAAGTGTGTGGTGTGTTAGTGAGGGAAGTGTGGTGTGTTAGTGAGGGAAGTGAGGTGTGTTAGTGAGGGAAGTGAGGTGTGTTAGTGAGGGAAGTGTGGTGTGTTAGTGAGGGAAGTGAGGTGTGTTAGTGAGGGAAGTGTGGTGTGTTAGTAAGGGAAGTGAGGTGTGTTAGTGAGGGAAGTGAGGTGTGTTAGTGAGGGAAGTGTGGTGGTGTTAGTGAGGGAAGTGAGGTGTGTTAGTAAGGGAAGTGAGGTGTGTTAGTGAGGGAAGTGAGGTGTGTTAGTAAGGGAAGTGAGGTGTGTTAGTGAGGGAAGTGAGGTGTGTTAGTGAGGGAAGTGTGGTGTGTTAGTGAGGGAAGTGAGGTGTGTTAGTGAGGGAAGTGAGGTGTGTTAGTGAGGGAAGTGAGGTGTGTAGTGAGGGAAGTGAGGTGTGTTAGTGGGGGATAGTGAGGTGTGTTAGTGAGGGAAGTGAGGTGTGTTAGTAAGGGAAGTGAGGTGTGTTAGTGAGGGAAGTGAGGTGTGTTAGTAAGGGAAGTGAGGTGTGTTAGTGAGGGAAGTGAGGTGTGTTAGTGAGGGGAAGTGTGGTGTGTTAGTGAGGGAAGTGAGTGTGTGTTAGTGAGGGAAGTGAGGTGTTTTTAGTGAGGGAAGTGTGGTGTGTTAGTGAGGGAAGTGTGGTGTGTTAGTGAGGGAAGTGAGGTGTGTTAGTGAGGGAAGTGAGGTGTGTTAATGAGGGAAGTGAGGTGTGTTAGTGAGGGAAGTGTGTTGTGTTAGTGAGGGAAGTGTGGTGTGTTAGTGAGGGAAGTGAGGTGTGTTAGTGAGGGAAGTGAGGTGTGTTAATTGAGGGAAGTGAGGTGTGTTAATGAGGGAAGTGAGGTGTGTTAGTGAGGGAAGTGAGGTGTGTTAATGAGGGAAGTTAGGTGTGTTAGTGAGGGAAGTGTGGTGTGTTAGTGAGGGAAGTGTGGTGTGTTAGTGAGGGAAGTGAGGTGTGTTAATGAGGGAAGTGAGGTGTGTTAGTGAGGGAAGTGAGGTGTGTTAGTGAGGGAAGTTAGGTGTGTTAGTGAGGGAAGTGAGGTGTGTTAGTGAGGGAAGTGAGGTGTGTTAGTGAGGGAAGTGTGTGTTACAGTAGCACAGGTCTGAGAGAGAGAGGTACAGGTGTGTGTCAGAGAAACAGGTGTGTTTTATAAACAGGTGTGTTATATGAACAGGTGTGTTATATAAACAGGTGTGTTATATAAACAGGTGTGTTATATAAACAGGTGTTGTTATATAAACAGTGTGTTATATAAACAGGTGTGTATATAAAACAGGTGTGTTATATAAACAGGTGTGTTATATAAGCAGGTGTGTTATATAAACAGGTGTGTTATATAAACAGGTGTGTTATATAAGCAGGTGTGTTATATAAACAGGTGTGTTATATAAACAGGTGTGTTATATAAACAGGTGTGTTATATAAACAGGTGTGTCAGAGAAACAGGTGTGTTATATAAACAGGTGTGTTATATAAACAGGTGTGTTATATAAACAGGTGTGTTATATAAACAGGTGTGTTATATAAACAGGTGTGTTATATAAACAGGTGTGTTATATAGCAGGTGTGTTATATAAACAGGTGTGTTTATATAAACAGGTGTGTTATATAAACAGGTGTGTTATATAAACAGGTGTGTTATATAAACAGGTGTGTTATATAAACAGGTGTGTTATATAAACAGGTGTGTTATATAAGCAGGTGTGTTATATAAACAGGTGTGTTATATAAGCAGGTGTGTTATATAAGCAGGTGTGTTATATAAACACAGCGTTGTTATATAAACAGGTGTGTTATATAAGCATGGTGTGTTATATAAACAGGTGTGTTATATAAACAGGTGTGTTATATAAACAGGTGTGTTATATAAACAGATGTGTTTTATAAACAGGTGTGTTATATAAACAGATGTGTTATATAAAAAGGTGTGTTATATAAACAGGTGTGTTATATAAACAGATGTGTTTATAAAACAGTGTGTGTTATATAAACAGGTGTGTTATATAAACAGGTGTGTTATATAAACAGGTGTGTTATATAAACAGGTGTGTTATATAAACAGGTGTGTTATATAAACAGGTGTTATATAAACAGGTGTGTTATATAAACAGGTGTGTTATATAAACAGGTGTGTTATATAAACAGTGTGTGTTTATATAAACAGGTGTGTCAGAGAACAGTGTGTTATATAAACAGGTGTGTTATATAAACAGGTGTGTTATATAAACAGGTGTGTTATATAAACAGATGTGTTAATAAAACAGGTGTGTTATATAAACAGGTGTGTTATATAAACAGGTGTGTTATATAAGCAGGTGTGTTATATAAACAGGTGTGTTATATAAACAGGTGTGTTATATAAACAGGTGTGTCAGAGAAACAGGTGTGTTATATAAACAGGTGTGTTATATAAACAGGTGTGCAAAACATCAATACTCAAAAACAATGTAAACGAACTTACAGTTTGATGATCTTTTCTGATTTACAGAACTTACACATTTTTTACATAAATCTGAAATCTATCTCGTGATTTACTTAAATAATCCACATACTTTACATAATTTTGCTGTCTTTCTGGTGATTTACAAGAGTAATTTACACATTTTACATAAGCTCGTGCAATAATCATATTGAAATGTTGCATTTACATTTAAACTAACGACACAGTAATTAAAAGCATGAAGAATATAATTCACAGTATCGTGGATTAAAGAAGATTCACAACTAACTCACGCAACTGTAAATGAAGACACGAATTTTTAGTCAGTACTTGATCATTTACACAGACGTGTAAAATAGATGGCTACTGTATTTCGGCGACTCACAAGCGTAGACGATGTTGTAGGTGCAAGGGTGGTGCTGTAGCCCTACATCATTGGTAGCCCAGCACAGCAGGGAGCCGTAGTCTTGGTGTTTCTTGGGAGTGTAGCTCACTACGCTACGACCCTTGCCCGCTGATCTGATCTTGTTTGCTGAGATCTCCACTACCTCCGAGGAACTGTTGAAGGCCCACCTGCAGCAGCAGCAGCAGCAGCAGCAGCAGCAGCAGCAGCAGCAGTGGCAGCAGCAGGAATAGCAGTAGTAGTAGCAGGGATGAGAGAGGCAGGAGGGAGGATAATGAGAAAAGATTAATGGGTCTTGTTTTGTCTGACCGCTGGTCTAGTGTTGATACTGTCGTGCGGTCGGTCACTACTTGAACCCATCATAATAAACAATCTTCTCCCTCTCTCTCTCTCTCCTCTCCTCGATCTCTCTCTCTCTTCTCTCTCTCTCTCTCTCTCTCCTCTCCCCGCTCATCTCTCTCTCTTCTCTCTCCTCCTCTCTCTCTCGATCTCTCTCTCTCCCCTCTCTCTCTCGTTTGCTCGCTCTCTCTCAAAGTAAGATTATCCTGGTTACCTCTCAGTTAAGGCTAGTTACCCCTCAGTCAAGACTAGTCACCTCTCAGTCGAGGCTAGTCTTGAATCTCCTAATATCTCAAATAATACCTAACGAAGAATGATAATCACAGATAAAACTAGTATTACATTATCGTAATTAATATCATACAGCGATCCAGTTACTGCTTCCGGCCAGCCTCTCAGGAACGACCAGATTTAAAATTATCATGCCATCAAAGATGATATATTATACTCCCATTAACAGAAACTTTCTTAGCTGCTACTGTAAAAAAACTGACCAAGTTACTGCCGTGTCCGAGTCAGAGAAGTTCTGAGCAGTTATTGTTGATGTTATGGCCATCAATAATTCGTAGAGTTACAGGCATCAATAATTCGTGGAGGTATAGGTATCGATAATTCATGGAACCGGTGGAGAGAATGAGAAGGTTTCAGGGTTCTATAGGTAGCCTTAAGGGGAGGTTGAAGGTGGGTTTTAGGGGACGTTTCAGGGATTTAAAGGTGGCTTCTAGGGGACGTTTTGGGGATTTAAAGGTGACTTCTAGAGGACGTTTTAGGGATTTAAAGGTAGTTTCTAGGGGACGTTTTAGGGAATTAAAGGTGGCTTTTAGGGGACGTCTTAGGGATTTAAAGGTGGCTTCTAGAGGGCGTTTTAGGGATTTAAAGGTGGCTTCTAGGGGACATTTTAGGGAATTAAAGGTGGCTTTTAGGAGACGTTTTAGGGATTTAAAGGTGGCTTCTAGGGGACGTTTTAGGGATTTAAAGGTGGCTTCTAGGGGACGTTTTAGGGATTTAAAGGTAGCTTCTAGGGGACGTTTTAGGGATTTAAAGGTGGCTTCTAGGGTACGTTTTAGAGATTTAAAGGTGGCTTCTATGGGACGTTTTAGGGATTTAAGGGTGGCTTCTAGAGGACGTTTTAGGGATTTAAAGGTGACTTCTAGAAGACGTTTTAGAGATTTAAAGGTGGCTTCCAGGGAACTTTTAGGGATTTAAAGTTGGCTTCTAGAGGACGTTTTAGGGATTTAAAGATGGCTTCTATGGGATGTTTTAGGGATTTAAAGGTGGCTTCTAGCGGACGTTTTAGGGATTTAAAGGTGGCTTCTAGAGGGCGTTTTAGGGATTTAAAGGTGGCTCCTAGAAGACTTTTAGGGATTTAAAAGTGGCTTCTAGGGAAGGTGGGTAGGAACTCAGCAGAAAAATGTGAGCTAAAGAGAGAGGGAAGAAATAATGTGTGTTAAAATGACCTTACCTGAAGGAGGTGGGTTCAGGGTAGACCTTTCCTGGAGGAGGTGGGCTCGGGGTGGGCCTTACCTGAAGGAGGTGGGCTCGGGGTGGGCCTTACCTGAAGGAGGTGGGCTCGGGGTGGACCTTTCCTGAAGGAGGTGGGCCCGGGGTGGGCCTTACCTGAAGGAGGTGGGCTCGGGGTGGGCCTTACCTGAAGGAGGTGGGCTCGGGGTGGGCCTTACCTGAAGGAGGTGGGCTCGGGGTGGGCCTTACCTGAAGGAGGTGGGCTCGGGGTGGGCCTTACCTGAAGGAAGTGGGCTCGGGGTGGGCCTTACCTGAAGGAGGTGGGCTCGGGGTGGGCCTTATCTGAAGGAGGTGGGCCCGGGGTGGGCCTTACCTGAAGGAGGTGGGCTCGGGGTGGCCCTTACCTGAAGGAGGTGGGCTCGGGGTGGGCCTTACCTGAAGGAAGTGGGCTCGGGGTGGGCCTTACCTGAAGGAAGTGGGCTCGGGGTGGGCCTTACCTGAAGGAGGTGGGCTCGGGGTGGGCCTTACCTGAAGGAGGTGGGCTCGGGGTGGGCCTTACCTGAAGGAGGTGGGCTCGGGGTGGCCCTTACCTGAAGGAGGTGGGCCCGGGGTGGGCCTTACCTGAAGGAGGTGGGCTCGGGGTGGGCCTTACCTGAAGGAAGTGGGTTCGGGGTGGGCCTTACCTGAAGGAGGTGAGCTCGGGGTGAGCCTTACCTGAAGGAGGTGGGCTAGGGGTGGGTCTTACCTGAAGGAGGTGGGCTCGGGGTGGGCCTTACCTGAAGGAGGTGGGCTCGGGGTGGGCCTTTCCTGAAGGAGGTGGGCTCGGGGTGGGCCTTACCTGAAGGAGATGGGTTCGGGGTGGGCCTTAGATGAAGGAGGTGGGCTCGGGGTGGGCCTTACCTGAAGGAGGTGGGCTCGGGGTGGGCCTTACCTGAAGGAGGTGGGCTCAGGGTGGGCCTTACCTGAAGGAGGTGGGCTCGGGGTGGGCCTTACCTGAAGGAGGTGGGCTCGGGGTGGGCCTTACCTGAAGGAGGTGGGTTCGTGGTGGGCCTTAGATGAAGGAGGTGGGCTCGGGGTGGGCCTTACCTGAAGGAGGTGGGCTCGGGGTGGGCCTTACCTGAAGGAGATTGGTTCGGGGTGAGCCTTAAATAAAGGAGGTGGGCTCGGGGTGGGCCTTACCTGAAGGAGGTGGGCTCGGGGTGGGCCTTACCTGAAGGAGGTGGGCTCGGGGTGGGCCTTACCTGAAGGAGGTGGGTTCGGGGTGGGCCTTAGATGAAGGAGGTGGGCTCGGGGTGGGCCTTACCTGAAGGAGGTGGGCTCGGGGTGGGCCTTACCTGAAGGAGATTGGTTCGGGGTGGGCCTTAAATGAAGGAGGTGGGCTCGGGGTAGGCCTTACCTGAAGGAGGTGGGCTCGGGGTGGGCCTTACCTGAAGGAGGTGGGCACGGGGTGGGCCTTACCTGAAGGAGGTGGGCTCGGGGTGGGCCTTACCTGAAGGAGGTGGGCTCGGGGTGGGCCTTACCTGAAGGAGGTGGGCTCAGGGTGGGCCTTACCTGAAGGAGGTGGGCTCGGGGTGGGCCTTAGATGAAGGAGGTGGGCTCGGGATGGGCCTTACCTGAAGGAGGTGGGCTCGGAGTGGGCCTTACCTGAAGGAGGTGGGCTCGAGGTGGGCCTTACCTGAAGGAGGTGGGCTCGGGGTGGGCCTCGACGCTGCAGGTGATGTTCAGTTCTTCGTTCTTGCCAGCACCGTAGACGAGTGTCTGTCCTGGCCGACACATTGGTGAAACTGTTGGTACCAGCACCTCTGTTACTACCCCCTGCCAACACCTCTGTTAGCACCCTTCCCCCTCCCCTGCCAACACCTGTGTTAGTAGTAAGTGGCGTGACAGTGAACCTTAACACTGAATTCTCATATTTTTTTTTTTCAACAAGTTGGTCGTCTCCCACCGAGGCAGGGTGACCCAAAAAAGAAAGAAAATCCCCAAAAAGAAAATACTTTCATCATCATTCAACACTTTCACCACACTCACACATTATCACTGTTTTTGCAGAGGTGCTCAGAATACAACAGTCTAGAAGCATACACATATAAAGATACACAACATATCCCTCCAAACTGCTAATATCCCAAACCCCTCCTTTAAAGTGCAGGCATTGTACTTCCCATTTCCAGGACTCAAGTCCGACTATATGAAAATAACCGGTTTCCCTGAATCCCTTCACTAAATATTACCCTGCTCACACTCCAACAGATCGTCAGGTCCCAAGTACCATTCGTCTCCATTCACTCCCATCTAACACGCTCACGCACACTTGCTGGAAGTCCAAGCCCCTTGCCCACAAAACCTCCTTTACCCCCTCTCTCCAACCCTTTCGAGGACGACCCCTACCCCGCCTTCCTTCCACTATAGATTTTTTATGCTTTCCATGTCATTCTACTTTGATCCATTCTCTCTAAATGACCAAACCACCTCAACAACCCCTCTTCTGCCCTCTGACTAATACTTTTATTAACTCCACACCTTTTCCTAATTTCCACACTCCGAATTTTCTGCATAATATTTACACCACACATTGCCCTTAAACAGGACATCTCCACTGCCTCCAACCGTCTCCTCGCTGCTGCATTTACCACCCAAGTTTCACACCCATATAAGAGTGTTGGTACTACTATACTTTCATACATTCCCTTCTTTGCCTCCATAGATAACGTTTTTTGACCCCACTTATACCTCAACGCACCACTCACCTTTTTTCCCCTCATCAGTTCTATGATTAACCTCATCCTTCATAAATCCATCCGCCGACACTTCAACTCCCAAGTATCTAAAAAAACATTCACTTCTTCCATACTCCTCCTCCCCAATTTGATATCCAATTTTTCTTTATCTAAATCATTTGATACCCCTCATCACCTTACTCTTTTCTATGTTCACTTTCAACTTTCTACCTTTACACACATTCCCAAACTCATCCACTAACCTTTGCAATTTTTCTTTAGAATCTTCCATAAGCACAGTATCATCAGCAAAAAGTAACTGTGTCAATTCCCATTTTAATCCCACTAATCCATTTAATCCCACCCCTCTCCCGAACACCCTAGCATTTACTTCCTTTACAACCCCATCTATAAATATATTAAACAACCATGGTGACATTACACATCCTTGTCTAAGACCTACTTTTACCGGGAAGTATTCTCCCTCTCTTCTACACACCCTAACCTGAGCCTCACTATCCTAATAAAAACTCTTTACAGCATTTAATAACTTACCACCTATTCCATATACTTGCAACATCTGCCACATTGCTCCTCTATCCACTCTATCATATGCCTTTTCTAAATCCATAAATGCAATAAAAACTTCCCTACCTTTATCTAATATGTTCACATATATGCTTCAATGTAAACACTTGATCTACACATCCCCTACCCACTCTGAAACCTCCTTGCTCATCCGCAATCCTACATTCTGTCTTACCTCTAATTCTTTCAATTATAACCCTACCGTGCACTTTTCCTGGTATACTCAGTAAACTTATTCTTATATAATTTTTACAGTCTCTTTTGTCCCCTTTCCCTTTATATAAAGGGACTATACATGCTCTCCGCCAATCCCTAGGTACCTTCCCCTCTTTCATACATTCATTAATCAAAAGTACCAACCACTCCAACACTATATCCCCCCCCCTTCTTTTAACATTTCTGTCATGATCCCATCAGTTCAAGCTGCTTTACCCCCTTTCATTCTACGTAATGCCTCACGTACCTCCCCCACACTTACATTCTGCTCTTCTTTACTCCTAAAAGATGGTATACCTCCCTGACCAGTGCATGAAATTACTGCCTCTCTTTCTTCCTTAACATTTAAAAGTTCCTCAAAATATTCTCGCCATCTACCTAATACCTCTATCTCCCCATCTACTAACTCCCCTACTCTGTTTTTAACTGACAAATCCATACTTTCCCTAGGCTTTCTTAACTTGTTAAACTCACTCCAAATTTTTTTCTTATTTTCATTAAAATTTCTTGACAGTGCCTCTCCCACTCTTTCATCTGCTCTCCTTTTGCACTCTCTCACCCACTCTCTTTACCTTTCTTTTACTCTCCATATACTCTGCTCTTCTTATAACACTTCTGCTTTATAAAAACCTCTCATAAGCTACCTTTTTCTCTTTTATCACACCCTTTACTTCATCATTCCACCATCACTCCTCTTTCCTCCTCCCCCCACCCTCCTATAACCACAAACTTCTGCCCCACATTCTAATACTGCATTTTTAAAACTATTCCAACCCTCTTCAACCCCCCCACTACTCATATTTGCACTAGCCCACCTTTCTGCCAACAGTCGCTTATATCTCACCCGAACTTCCTCCTCCCTTAGTTTATACACTTTCACCTCCCTCTTACTTGTTGTTGCCACCTTCCTCTTTTCCCATCTACCTCTTACTCTAACTGTAGCTACAACTAAATAATGATCCGATATATCAGTTGCTCCTCTATAAACATGTACATCCTGGAGCCTACCCATCAACCTTTTATCCACCAATACATAATCTAATAAAGTACTTTCATTACGTGCTACATCATACCTTGTATATTTATTTATCCTCTTTTTCATAAAATATGTATTACTTATTACCAAATCTCTTTCTACACATATCTCAATTAAAGGCTCCCCATTTACATTTACCCCTGACACCCCAAATTTACCTACTACTCCCTCCATAACATTTTTACCCACTTTAGCATTGAAATCCCCAACCACCATTACTCTCACACTTGATTCAAAACTCTCCACGCATTCACTCAACATTTCCCAAAATCTCTCTCTCTCCTCTACATTCTCTCTTCTCCAAGTGCATACATGCTTATTATAACCCACTTTTCACATCCAATCTTTATTTTACGCCACATAATCCTTGAATTGATACATTTATAGTCCCTCTTTTCCTGCCATAGCTTATCTTTCAACATTATTGCTACTCCTTCTTTAGCTCCAACTCTATTTGAAACCCCTGACCTAATCCCATTTATTCCTCTCCATTGAAACTCTCCCACCCCCCTTCAGCTTTGTTTCACTTAAAGCCAGGACATCCAGTTTCTTCTCATTCATAACATCCACAATCATCTCTTTCTTATCATCTGCACAACATCCACGCACAGACTTCCCACTTTGACAATTTTCTTCTTCTTATTCTTTTTAGTAATCTTTACAGGAAAAGTGGTTACTAGCCCATTGTTCCCGGCATTTTAGTTGACTTTTACAACACTCATGGCTTACGGAGGAAAGATTCTTATTCCACTTCCCCATGGATATAAAAGGAAAAGTAATAAGACCAAGAACTATTAAGATAAAATCAAAGAAAACTCAGATGAGTGTGTATAAATAAATGTGTACATGTATGTGTAGTGTGACCTAAGTGTAAGTAGAAGTAGCAAGACATACCTGCAATCTTGCATATTTATGAGACAGACAAAAGACATCAGCAATCCTACCATCATGTAAAACAATTACAGGCTTTCGTTTTACACTCACTTGGCAGGACGGTAGTACCTCTCATATTTCCACTTATTTCCACTGGCCAGAAGCGGCACTTGTATCAGGCAAGAGACTTACATTTGACGCTGAGCTGGACAGCGTTGGAGCCGCTACTGCCCTGGATGTTGGCTGCTGAACAAGTGTACTGCCCTGAGGAACTCTTGGTCAGCCGCTGCAGCACCAGACTCTGGTTGCTCTGAATCACCCCAGCAGACACGTTGTGGGTTATCTCCTCACCCTGGGGGAGAGAAGGTGTTATGGGGAGGCTACCATCACCCCAGCAGACACGTTGTGGGTTATCTCCTCACCCTGGGGGGGAGAGAAGGTGTCATGGGGAGACTACCACCACCCCAGCAGACACGTTGTGGATTATCTCCTAACCCTGGGGGGAGAGAAGGAATCATGGGGAGGCTACCATCACCCCAGATGTATCACAACCTCACATATATCAGCACTTCCAGCAGTCTTCAAGTGAGCCATAAGCCACAGCCTCCCTTGATTAAGGCAAATGAAAAAAAATCAGAATCATCAATCCATATTTTCTTTTTGATATACAAAAGCCAAGAACTCACTCTAACTTTCTTTCTCTATAATTATTATTCTGTCCTATGTAACATGCAGTCGTAAATTATTCTATACATTCCGCGGTACGGGTGGAGATTAAAGTCGCGGCAAGTGAGTCGTGAAACTCCAGGCCAGTTTTACGATTTACTTGAATCTTATTGCAGCCACTGGGCCAGCTGGCTACAATAAGATTCATCTATCTAGGTATATTTATACATCTTAGAGAGATTAGCATGAGTCCCAAGTTAGCATGGGTCTCAAGTTAGCATGGGTCTCAAGTTAGCATGGGTCTCAAGTTAGCATGGGTCCCACTGGAACGCATGCTAACCTACCTATGGTGTATAAATATACCTAGTTGGTTGAATCTTACTGTAGCCAACTAGCCCAGTGGCATACGCGCTGGCCTGGAGTTTTACGACACACTCACCACGAGTTCAAACCCCACCAGCATCGTGGTTTGTTTGCAGTCGTGTCATTACGATTTTATGAGTTATTCTATACATTTCCTCGCTTAAATTCAAGATTTTTGAAACATCATTTTGCAGCCTTTTTTTTTTTTATCCTGGCATCAGCCAAATGTTTTCTAAATTAAAAAGTTGAAGAATCAAGGAGGTCCCTGGAGAGCACATTTGCCAGAGTGACTCACACAGCGCTGCTGTCCTAATGGTCCCAAGACTCTACTCACGTTATGCAGTCTAAAGGGCAGCTTCAAGTCATTATACACCACAAGAAAAGGCCAGTGTGTATTCACGTTACGGAACACAAAAGAGGCACTGGATGGGTAAGACAAAAGTGTAATAATTGAGTATTTTTGTTGTCTAACTTTTGCAGGTGAGTCTTACTCATGTAGTTCACGGTATTGTATAGCCTTAATAAAATAAAATGAGAAAATCAGTGCTGATTCGTGTTATGGACTACATAGACGCAAGTTTATTCTCAAATTCTGGAACCACAGAAGGCTGTTTGGGCCCACTGGATGGGTTCAAGGTGCTCCATAACCCTCTTAAACTAACTGCCTTCTTAAATTATGGAACCACGAAAAGGCAGTTTCTCCTGACATTATGAAAAAAAAACTGATTTTACTCAATTATGGACCAAAATTTGAGTTTCTTCTTATGAAAACAAAACAGAGAGTTTGTACTCACATTATGAAACCACTGGACCTTGTAAATGCTTGGGTTGGCCTGGATGCCACACTCGAAGTACACATCGTCTCCTTCCTTGATATCATCCATGTCCAAGCTGTTTCCTGCAGCCAGGGACAGCCGGGGGGAGTCTAGAGATGACAAAAGAACAGCACAGATCAGTCTTTACCAGCAAGAGAAGTAGTGGTGTCCTTGAAATACGTATATGGATACTATACACAAGTGAGGTGGTTATAAAGATATAAGTATGTAGGAACACTGTAATAGGCCTACTGGCTCGTACTTGGCAGGCTCTTCTTAAATCAAACTTCTATCTGAGAGAGAGAGAGAGAGAGAGAGAGAGAGAGAGCGAGAGAGAGAGAAAGAGAGAGAGAGAGAGAGAGAGCTAGGGAGAGAGAGAGAGAGAGAGAGAGAGAGAGAGAGAGAGAGAGAGAGAGAGAGAGAGAGAGAGAGAGAGAGAGAGAGAGAGAGAGAGAGAGAGAGAGAGAGAGATGGATCACACTGAAGAGGAGACGGAACAGACACAACATATTCAGGATTGTAATAAGAAAATCGTTACAACGCGAAGGTTTGCAACTGTATTATTACTATTTCTTCATTCATTAACAACGGATTTCAAGAGACGTGAGCTAGAGCTTTCCACAGTCATGCTGGTGTAACATTCGTTTGTAAAAAACTGCATTTGTGGTCACAGTGGTTGTCCTATGCAAACCTTCCTATGGTGTACAGGTGAGTGAATTTTATAAGGCCAGCAAGGTACAGTGATTAGCCAGCTGGCCTACTAATTTTAGGACTGACTTGCCATGGGTTCGAGCCTCGTCCGTTCTGTGGGTTACTCAAGCAGCCCCAACTCCATCAGTAGTGGCTAAAATAAGCCTCTGAATAAAGGAAAATACGACCTAGTTATATCACCTGATGTTTATGGCGCTGCGAAAGTATGTTACAAGTCCTGTGGCACAAATTTATAGCCAATATTTAAGCCCAGGAAGCCATTGAAGGAGACCAAATACAGTGTCTCTGTAAAAGGTCTTTCATCTTTATTGCCATCTTCATGACACCATGTTGGTGCCACCTTCATGACACCATGTTGGTGCCACCTTCATGACACCATGTTGGTGCCACCTTCATGACACCATGTTGGTGCCACCTTCATGACACCATGTTGGTGCCATCTTCATGACACCATGTTGGTGCCACCTTCATGACACCATGTTGGTGCCACCTTCATGACACCATGTTGGTGCCACCTTCATGACACCATGTTGGTGCCACCTTCATGACACCATGTTGGTGCCACCTTCATGACACCATGTTGGTGCCACCTTCATGACACCATGTTGGTGCCACCTTCATGACACCATGTTGGTGCCACCTTCATGACACCATGTTGGTGCCACCTTCATGACACCATGTTGGTGCCACCTTCATGACACCATGTTGGTGCCACCTTCATGACACCATGTTGGTGCCACCTTCATGACACCATGTTGGTGCCACCTTCATGACACCATGTTGGTGCCACCTTCATGACACCATGTTGGTGCCACCTTCATGACACCATGTTGGTGCCACCTTCATGACACCATGTTGGTGCCACCTTCATGACACCATGTTGGTGCCACCTTCATGACACCATGTTGGTGCCACCTTCATGACACCATGTTGGTGCCACCTTCATGACACCATGTTGGTGCCACCTTCATGACACCATGCTGGTGCCACCTTCATGACACCATGTTGGTGCCACCTTCATGACACCATGTTGGTGCCACCTTCATGACACCATGTTGGTGCCACCTTCATGACACCATGTTGGTGCCACCTTCATGACACCATGCTGGTGCCACCTTCATGACACCATGTTGGTGCCACCTTCATGACACCATGTTGGTGCCACCTTCATGACACCATGTTGGTGCCACCTTCATGACACCATGCTGGTGCCACCTTCATGACACCATGTTGGTGCCACCTTCATGACACCATGTTGGTGCCACCTTCATGACACCATGTTGGTGCCACCTTCATGACACCATGTTGGTGCCACCTTCATGACACCATGTTGGTGCCACCTTCATGACACCATGTTGGTGCCACCTTCATGACACCATGTTGGTGCCACCTTCATCACACCATGTTGGTGCCACCTTCATGACACCATGTTGGTGCCACCTTCATGACACCATGTTGGTGCCACCTTCATGACACCATGTTGGTGCCACCTTCATGACACCATGTTGGTGCCACCTTCATGACACCATGTTGGTGCCACCTTCATGACACCATGTTGGTGCCACCTTCATGACACCATGTTGGTGCCACCTTCATGACACCATGTTGGTGCCACCTTCATGACACCATGTTGGTGCCACCTTCATGACACCATGTTGGTGCCACCTTCATGACACCATGTTGGTGCCACCTTCATGACACCATGTTGGTGCCACCTTCATGACACCATGTTGGTGCCACCTTCATGACACCATGTTGGTGCCACCTTCATGACACCATGTTGGTGCCACCTTCATGACACCATGTTGGTGCCACCTTCATGACACCATGTTGGTGCCACCTTCATGACACCATGTTGGTGCCACCTTCATGACACCATGTTGGTGCCACCTTCATGACACCATGTTGGTGCCACCTTCATGACACCATGTTGGTGCCACCTTCGTGACACCATGTTGGTGCCACCTTCATGACACTATGTTGGTGCCACCTTCATGACACCATGCTGGTGCCACCTTCATGACACCATGCTGGTGCCACCTTCATGACACCATGTTGGTGCCACCCTCATGACACCATGCTGGTGCCACCTTCATGACACCAAGTTGGTGCCACCTTCATGACACCATGTTGGTGCCACCTTCATGACACCATGTTGGTGCCACCTTCATGACACCATGTTGGTGCCACCTTCATGACACCATGCTGGTGCCACCTTCATGACACCATGCTGGTGCCACCTTCATGACACCATGTTGGTGCCACCTTCATGACACCATGCTGGTGCCACCTTCATGACACCATGTTGGTGCCACCTTCATGACACCATGCTGGTGCCACCTTCATGACACCATGTTGGTGCCACCTTCATGACACCATGCTGGTGCCACCTTCATGACACCATGTTGGTGCCACCTTCATGACACCATGCTGGTGCCACCTTCATGACACCATGTTGGTGCCACCTTCATGACACCATGCTGGTGCCACCTGCATGACACCATGTTGGTGACACCTTCATGACACCATGTTGGTGACACCTTCATGACACCATGTTGGTGACACCTTCATGACACCATGCAGGTGACACCTTCATGACACCATCCTGGTGCCACCTTCATGACACCATGCTGGTGCCACCTTCATGACACCGTGCTGGTGCCACCTTCATGACACCATTTTGGTGCCACCTTCATGACACCATGCTGGTGCCACCTTCATGGCACCATGCCGGTGCCTTGGAGGTGTCGAGGCAGTCAGAGTATGCTAAACACCAGCTGATGTTGCCCACGACACTCACTCTTGTGTCAGGTGGGATTAAGGTTGATTTTCACGCTGCCTTTTTCTTCAGCTTGGTGATCATATTGATCTGAAATCAATTGTAATTGTTTCGTACTCAGAATCTCAGTGCTGTGATCACTCGTCTCAGTGCTGTGATCACTGGTCTCAGTGCTGTGATCACTCGTCTCAGTGCTGTGATCACTGGTCTCAGTGCTGTGATCACTCGTCTCAGTGCTGTGATCACTCGTCTCAGTGCTGTGATTACTGGTCTCAGTGCTGTGATCACTTGTCTCAGTGCTGTGATCACTTGTCTCAGTGTTGTGATCACTCGTCTCGGTGTTGTGATCACTCGTCTCAGTGCTGTGATCACTTGTCTCAGTGTTGTGATCACTCGTCTCAGTGTTGTGATCACTCGTCTCAGTGCTGTGATCACTTGTCTCAGTGTTGTGATCACTCGTCTCAGTGCTGTGATCACTTGTCTCAGTGTTGTGATCACTCGTCTCAGTGCTGTGATCACTTGTCTCAGTGTTGTGATCACTCGTCTCAGTGTTGTGATCACTCGTCTCAGTGTTGTGATCACTCGTCTCAGTGCTGTGATCACTCGTCTCAGTGTTGTGATCACTCGTCTCAGTGTTGTGATCACTCGTCTCAGTGTTGTGATCACTCGTCTCAGTGTTGTGATCACTCGTCTCAGTGTTGTGATCACTCGTCTCGGTGTTGTGATCACTCGTCTCAGTGTTGTGATCACTCGTCTCAGTGTTGTGATCACTCGTCTCAGTGCTGTGATCACTCGTCTCAGTGTTGTGATCACTCGTCTCAGTGTTGTGATCACTCGTCTCAGTGTTGTGATCACTCGTCTCAGTGTTGTGATCACTCGTCTCGGTGTTGTGATCACTCGTCTCAGTGTTGTGATCACTCGTCTCAGTGTTGTGATCACTCGTCTCAGTGCTGTGATCACTCGTCTCAGTGTTGTGATCACTCGTCTCAGTGTTGTGATCACTCGTCTCAGTGTTGTGATCACTCGTCTCAGTGTTGTGATCACTCGTCTCGGTGTTGTGATCACTCGTCTCAGTGTTGTGATCACTCGTCTCAGTGTTGTGATCACTCGTCTCAGTGCTGTGATCACTCGTCTCAGTGTTGTGATCACTCGTCTCAGTGTTGTGATCACTCGTCTCAGTGTTGTGATCACTCGTCTCAGTGTTGTGATCACTCGTCTCGGTGTTGTGATCACTCGTCTCAGTGTTGTGATCACTCGTCTCAGTGTTGTGATCACTCGTCTCAGTGCTGTGATCACTCGTCTCAGTGTTGTGATCACTCGTCTCAGTGTTGTGATCACTCGTCTCAGTGTTGTGATCACTCGTCTCAGTGTTGTGATCACTCGTCTCAGTGTTGTGATCACTCGTCTCAGTGTTGTGATCACTCGTCTCAGTGCTGTGATCACTTGTCTCAGTGTTGTGATCACTCGTCTCAGTGTTGTGATCACTCGTCTCAGTGTTGTGATCATCGTCTCAGTGTTGTGATCACTCGTCTCAGTGCTGTGATCACTTGTCTCAGTGTTGTGATCACTCGTCTCAGTGTTGTGATCACTCGTCTCAGTGTTGTGATCACTCGTCTCAGTGTTGTGATCACTCGTCTCAGTGTTGTGATCACTCGTCTCAGTGTTGTGATCACTCGTCTCAGTGTTGTGATCACTCGTCTCAGTGTTGTGATCACTCGTCTCAGTGCTGTGATCGCTTGTCTCAGTGTTGTGATCACTCGTCTCAGTGCTGTGATCACTTGTCTCAGTGTTGTGATCACTCGTCTCAGTGCTGTGATCACTTGTCTCAGTGTTGTGATCACTCGTCTCAGTGTCAGTATGAATGTTGCACTGTGAGTTAAAGAGGCACTAGTGGTACTTAACGAGAGAGAGAGAGAGAGAGAGAGAGAGAGAGAGAGAGAGAGAGAGAGAAAGAAAGATTGAATTGCTCTTAGTTCAAGGTAGTAAAGCTTCCGCCTCTTCTTCCTCAGATCAAACTTTGTTACCTCCTGTATTAGCCCAGCAGGTTCATAAATATCGCTATTTCTTCTACTACTCTTATTATTACTACTACTAGAACCATTATTATTACTACTACTATTATTATTACTACTATTACTGCTACTACTATTACTACTGTTAATACCACTAATAATAATAATATATATACTCTCCGTAAGATACGGTTACGTAAGATAACTACCACAAGGCTACAATAGCAACACTGTACAGGTACTTACAGTAAACAGTGAGCTTGGTAGTGTCCTCCATCACAGCTGTGGGAACCAGGGGATTCTTGGCTCTGCAGGCGATGTGGGCGTCGTGGTCCGCCAGTGTGGGCGTCAGGTGCAGGGTGGACCTACTGACGTTACCGTCCTGAAACACCTGAGGAAAGTGCTGCTGATTAGTCCTCGGCACTGATAATTACCCCTTAGCATTCTCAGTGAACCCTCAGCACTCTTACTCCCCAGCACTCCTAGCTAACCCCCCCCCCCTCTCAGCACTTTAACCTTTCCTCAGCTTGGAGACAAACGTCACTCTCAGCACCAGTATTTTCTCACCTTGCTCGGGAAAGCAATATTTCATCAGCCTTACGTAGTGTCTAAGACAAGGAATCTATGACTGTGCACACACACACACACACACACACACACACACACACACACACACACACACACACACACACACACACACACACACACACATACACACACACACACACACACACACACACACACATACACACACACACACACACACACACACACACAGCATCTGCGTCCACACATGCATAGTGCATGAAGACTGGGCTGGCATCTGCACAATATAACTCTGCTCATATCTCCTCTAACAGGAATATATTGTGAACTAAATTATTATTATATTATTATTATTATTATTATTATTTATTTTATTATTATTATTATTATTATTATTATTATTATTTATTATTATTATTATTATTTTTAAATTAATATTATTATTATTATTATTATTATTATATTATTATTATTATTATTATTATTATTATTAATTATTATATAGCGTTTTATTTTGTTATAAAAATAATAATAATAATAATAATAATAATACATAAGATATTTTGTTTAATTTTGTACGATATTCTCTGAGCGAAAAGTTGTGGAAAATCTCAATATTTTTATTAATGAAAAATGTTTATTTATTCCAAAAATATATTTTTGTGTATTATTAGAGACTATATTGACCTTACCTAGTTACTATATTGACCTTACCTAGTTACTATATTGACCTTACCTAGTTACTATATTGACCTTACCTAGTTACTATATTGACCTTACCTAGTTTACTATATTGACCTTACCTAGTTACTATATTGACCTTACCTAGTTACTATTATTGACCTTACCTAGTTACTATATTGACCTTACCTAGTTTCTATATTGACCTTACCTAGTTACTATATTGACCTTACCTAGTTACTATATTGACCTTACCTAGTTACTATATTGACCTTACCTAGTTACTATATTGACCTTACCTAGTTACTATATTGACCTTACCTAGTTACTATATTGACCTTACCTAGTTACTATATTGACCTTACCTAGTTATATATTGGACCTTACCTAGTTACTATATTGACCTTACTAGTTACTATATTGACCTTACCTAGTTACTATATTGACCTTACCTAGTTACTATACTGACCTTACCTAGTTACTATATTGACCTTACCTAGTTACTATATTGACCTTACCTAGTTACTATATTGACCTTACCTAGTTACTACATTGACCTTACCTAGTTACTATATTGACCTTACCTAGTTACTATATTGACCTTACCTAGTTACTATATTGATCTTACCTAGTTACTGTATTGGCCTTACCTAGTTACTATATTGACCTTACCTAGTTACTATATTGACCTTACCTAGTTACTATATTGACCTTACCTAGTTACTATATTGACCTTACCTAGTTACTACATTGACCTTACCTATTTACTATATTGACCTTACCTAGTTACTATATTGACCTTACCTAGTTACTATATTGACCTTACCTAGTTACTACATTGACCTTACCTAGTTACTATATTGACCTTACCTAGTTACTATATTGACCTTACCTAGTTACTATATTGACCTTACCTAGTTGATGTACTGACCTTACCTGACTCCTACAGTGACCTTACCTGGCTCTTACAGTGACCTTACCTGGTTCCTACAGTGACCTTACCTGGCTCTTACAGTGGCCTTACCTGGCTCCTGCAGCGACCTTACCTGGCTCCTACAATGACCTTACCTGGCTCCTACAGTGACCTTACCTGTCTTCTACAGTAACCTTACATGGTTCCTACAGTGACCTTACCTGGCTCTTACAGTGACCTTACCTGGCTCCTACAATGACCTTACCTGGCTCCTACAGTGACCTTACCTGGCTTCTACAGTGACCTTACATGGTTCCTACAGTGACCTTACCTGACTCTTACAGTGATCTTACCTGGCTCCTAAAATGACCTTACCTGGCTTCTACAGTGACCTTACCTGGCTCTTACAGTGACCTTACCTGGCTCCTACAATGACCTTATCTGGCTCCTACAGTGACCTTACCTGGCTTCTACAGTGACCTTACATGGTTCCTACAGTGACCTTACCTGACTCTTACAGTGATCTTGGCTCCTACAGTGACCTTACCTGACTCTTACAGTGATCTTACCTGGCTTCTACAGTGACCTTACCTGGCTCCTACAATGACCTTACCTGGCTCCTACAATGACCTTACCTGGCTTCTACAGTGACTTTACTTGGCTCCTACAATAACCCTACCTTTCTCCTAGTGACCTTACCTGGCTCCTACAATGACCTTACCTGGCTCCTACAATGACCTTACCTGGCTTTTGCAGTGACCTTACTTGGCTCCTACAATAACCCTACCTTTCTCCTACAGTGACCTTACCTGGCTCCTACAATGACCTTACCTGGCTTCTACAGTGACTTTACTTGGCTCCTACAATAACCCTACCTTTCTCCTACAGTGACCTTACCTGGCTCCTACAATGACCTTACCTGGCTTCTACAGTGACTTTACTTGGCTCCTACAATAACCCTACCTGGCTCCTACAGTGACCTTACCTGGCTCCAACAATGACGTTACCTGGCTTCTACAGTGACCTTACTTGGCTCCTACAATAACCCTACCTTTCTCCTACAGTGACCTTACCTGGCTCCTGGCGTCAGTCATGAGAAGTCCGTTCTTCCACCAAGTGATGGTGGCCGAGGGTCGTGACCCAGACGACTCGCACACCACCTTGTACTGACGACCCTCCGAGAAAGGACCGCCAGGTGACCCCAAGATCCGCACGTCCAGAGGAGGGACTGTGTGAAGACACACCATGAGCAAAGTGGATCAGATGGAGGATCAAGTGGATCAGATGGAGGATCAAGTGGATCAAACGGATCAAATATATCATGTGGATCAAATAGATGGAACGTCGCATTTTCTGTAATAGTGACAAGAACACGTTCACTGCAGAAACTTTTCTTGGGAGAACGTTTCGCCCTGTGTTGAGACTTATCAAGCTTTATCGTGGCGTGATAAAGCTTTGCGCTGAGCGAAACTCGCTCCCCGTGAGAGTTTCGGCTGTAGCATGTGAGGTTTCTGCACACAAAGAGAAGGTCATAATATTTTGTCTGCCAGGAGAAACAGAAGAATTTCTCCCGAGGCCAGAGATGGACACAAGCTCTCGCATTTAAGCAATAAACTTTGTTAATCTTTCTTTGTGTTGTATCTTCTCGGAAAATATCTATTATTATTGTTACTAGCGTTAATAGTACATGATGATCGTCTCAAAGAAGCTGTTAGTACCTTGATGGTAACCTTCCCCTGGCTTGTCTCTCCACCAAGTTGAAACAGAGATCAAGGTAAAAAATGTGATGATAGGGCTTTCTCTGTGTTCTCAGTTACTGAACAAGAGGAGGAGGAAAGCGTGGATAAATATGGGCCAATGGCGAGACTGTGAGAGGAGAGAACAGAAGGAGGGACAAGTAAGTAATGGGGATATAACTAGAAGACACAGTGTATGATGGGAAGGGGTGTACAGGTACGTTAATATTGACGCATTGTGGGAATAAGACACATATACACAGTATACAGAACGTCATCAGTACTGTATTTACAGTATGCAAATAAGACAAATAATACTGTCTATGATATTTTTTTATTCATAATGCCACAACCGGCACTGAGTGTCTTATTTGCATACATCATCAACAACATTAATAATATCGAGTCCACCATAAAATTCGTGTTAGAGGAGAGGGACAACCACCTACCTTTCCTAGAAGTTCTACACACTGGCGTCGACAGACGACAGGAAGCACACCAATAAAGACGACCTCATTCACTTCTATTCACACTCAGGATACCAGAACCAAGCGAGGTGTCAGCATTAGTTTCTTCCTTGGGGTTAAAGGATTTTCATCTAGCATTGTCTCGAGGAGTATGAATATATCAGTTACGTCTTTGAAAAGCTGCAGTTTCCGTTATTTCATCTATGAGTGTAGAGCGTCCTCTCTATATATCATCGGATATATCAAAAAAACAACACGCATGCGAGTACTTCCACCAGGTACATAGTTCGTGGTATCAGTAAGATGGCCAACTACATTTCCCCAGCAATGAAGGGTAGTCATGTTACAGTAGGAACCAGTTCCTCGACCACCATCAATGACCTGGTTAAACCAAAACCAGCCAGCACCGCACAAGTAAGTGCTGGCGTGTATATATAATCCGTGGCAGGTCAACACAGGAGAAACAGGCAGGGTTATAGACTAACGTGTTAGTGAACATAGATACTCCCGCAGTCATGATGATATAAGTAACACTTGTGTCCAACTTAGTAACACACATGGTCACAACATGAGGTGGGAAGGAACAGACTTACCAAAGCAAATTATTTACTAAGACATCAGTCAGTGCATGAAAGCCTCCAGGATTTCAGTTTCTGAGACTGTCACACAAACTTAGGGAGCTTCGGTATCTCCAGTATTCTCACACAAATGATTATGCCCAGCCACAACACTGCCAGTAATTCTCACTGATAGATTTATAATATGCATGTGGTTCTGAAAGCTCTGGCAACGTCTCACACTAAGTTAAATCCTGTGCTTGGAAGGTGCTTGTCAAGCTAGTTATTGAATGACTGTATTGTCTTGGCGCTTATACCATTATCCAGAAGTTTATTGCATTCCGCTATAATTCTGTTTGCAAAAAAAAAAAAAAACTACATACGTTCGTGTTGCAACCTCTGCCTCGCAGTTTCATTCTATTGTTTCGAGTTATGGACTGATTCAGCACTTAGAATAATTCTTCATGTTAGAGTGCGTCGAAGTCACTTAAAATCTTGAAGATTGAGACACTTATGCAGCATATAGGAATCTTATGCTGCATAAGTGTCTCAATCTTCAACTTGTCGGTTTTTCAAACCATTCATCACTTAAAATCTTAAAGATTTGAATGAAATCTCGTCATAGTCTTTGCTTCTTAAGAGAATAAAAGACTGTGTGCATTGAGCAACTGGCAAGAAAGTTGTAGATGAGTAGAATAACTGCCTAGTAGAGTCATTAAAGAGGCCAAGAACATTGGACACACAAATGGCTTAGGAATTAGATCCAAAAGGGTTAACATGAGTGCTTCTAGATTTATATCTTCAATTTTATATTCTGTTGCAAGTAAATTTATATTTGTTTAATATATGTGGTATTTTATATTCCCTAATAAAATACCCCAACATATCACATAGGTTATTATACTGTCTGTCTCTATATTCCTCAATAAGTGGACAACAAAGCACATAGTGTAGAGAAAAGTGACCATAAGGTCTCTCTAATATTTTCTTTCGTACTTCCGGACTCTCGTTGAGGCTACAGTCACACCGTGAGTCACAGCTGTGCCACACTCACACCATGAACTTTCCACACTTACTCCAAACGTATGGTCACACCTCAGCCACTTCTATGCCTGTATTCCATGCCTTCCTTACGCTGAGGTCGTGTTCCACATGATATCAACTTTTTCTCCGCAATAAGATATATATATTCTACCACGACGGGATAAAATTGTCTTCCCAGGCCGGATTACAAATTCTACCAGGGCAGGATAACTTCTCGCCCCGACAGGATATTATCTTCTCTCCCCGACAGGATATCAACTTTTCTTCTCAACACGATATTAACTTCTCGCCCCGACAGGATGTCAACTTCTCTTCCCGACAGGATAACAAATCTTCCACGACAAGATACCAGCATTTCTCCGTGTTCCGTGGCCCTTGGGACCCTGCTAGCCCTGATGGCCCTGGTGGCCCTGGTGGCCCTGGTGGCCAGGGGCCAAGCAACTCCCAACAAAGAACTCACTCACGCGAGCCACGGACTTACGATATAATATATTACCAAAGTTTTAATGGACGCTGTACAACGCAAAAAAAAAAAAATGCTTTTATTGGGATTAAATAGCATCGAACTGTTTTGGATTAGGATCTGAAAGTATTACTATACTCAGCATAGAAAAGTTTGTGCAAACACTTGCACGAGAGGGATATATATAAATATATATATATATATATATATATATATATATTATATATATATATATATTATATATATATATATATATATATATATATATATATATATATATATATATAAACAAAGGGAAGTTGAATGATAGCTCTAGGCTTTTCGTGTTGCAATCAATGCATCATCAGGCGCTGGCATTGTTGTAGAAATGAGTAGGAAGTCCAGGCAGATTAGTTCAGGGGAGGAATTTCTAGCTCGAATATATGCAGACAGATAATACAGATTAATAATGCAGATAGAAAATGCAGTTAACTCACAGCTTAGGTCTATGGTGACAGCAGCAGCCAGAGGCACAGAGAGGTTAGAGTTTGAGGCCTTGCAAGTGAAGACTCGGTAGAGGTCATCTCGGGTCAGTGCAGGGAGTGTCAAGGTGTTGACCGTGTACTCTGTCTTCTGCTCCTCTATAACGTCGTCCAGCAGGGTAGCCTCGTTCCACCACACCACCTGAGGCGCCGGCCGACCTGTAGGGAGAAAGGTGAGCGAAACATCAGGTAGTACAAGCATGTTGTTTTTATAGTAAAGTGAAGAATCAAGAGTTTACATAGATAGTGTTTTATTCGTCAGGAAACAAGGTGTTTTTCTCCTGGTGTGTGCGTGTGTGTGTTACGTGTTGATTTCTTGGTAAGGTGTTCACCCCATCTGAGAAACAAGAAGTAATAGGCACAGTGAGAAATAAGATTCCATAGGCGCAGTTAGAAACAAAGATTCCATAGGCGCACCAAAAGAACACCATGTCAGCAAGTTCCGGGGTCTGGAGTCCTCTACCAGCAGATATAAGGAATGATTCAGCAGTAAAACTGTAGGATTGCACAATGAAGATAGAAGGAGGCTGCACACAGTGCCAGGTCCTCGTGCTGATGACCTCCTGGAGGTTACCTGGAGGTTATTCCGGGGATCAACGCCCCCGCGGCCCGGTCCATGACCAGGCCTCCCGATGGATCAGGGCCTGATCAACTAGGCTGTTACTGCTGGCCGCACGCAGTCCGACGTACGAGCCACAGCCCGGCTGATCCGGCACTGACTTTAGGTATCTGTCCAGCTCTCTCTTGAAGGCAGCCAGGGGTTTATTGGCAATTCCCCTAATGCTTGATGGGAGGCTGTTGAACAGTTTTGGGCCCCGGACACTTATGGTGTTTTCCCTTAGTGTACCAATGGCGCCCCTACTTTTTATTGGGGGCATTTTGCATCGCCTGCCCAGTCTTTTACTTTCGTAGGGAGTGATTTCTGTGTGCAGATTTGGGACCATTCCTTCCAAGATTTTCCAAGTGTATATTATGATATATCTCTCCCTCCTGCGTTCCAACGAGTACAAGTCAAGTGCTTCCAAGCGTTCCCAGTAGTTAAGGTGCTTGACAGAACTTATACGTGCAGCAGGTGAAATCTGCGATTTCACCTGCTTTGAATGGAGATGTTAATGTACAGCAGTATTCCAGCCTAGAGAGAACAAGTGATTTGAAAAGGATCATCATGGGCTTGACATCTCTCGTTTTGAAAGTTCTCATTATCCATCCTATCATTTTCTTTGCACGTGCGATCGTGGCACTGTTGTGATCCTTGAAAGTGAGATCCTCAGACATTACTACTCCCAGGTCCCTTACATTAGTTTTCCGCTCTATTGTATGGCCGGAGTCAGTAGTATACTCTGTTCTAGTTATTATCTCCTCCAGTTTTCCATAACGGAGTAGTTGGAATTTGTCCTCATTGAACATCATATTGTTTACCGTTGCCCATTGGAAAACTTTGTTTATATCTTCTTGGAGATTAACCGCGTTCTCAGCAGATGACAGCCTCATGCAGATCCTAGTATCATCCGCGAAGGATGATACGGTGCTGTGGTGTATATCTCTGTTTATGTCTCATATGAGGATAAGGAATAAGATGGGGGCGAGTACTGTGCCTTGTGGAACAGAGCTCTTCACTATGGCAGCCTCCGATTTAACTCTGTTGACCACTACTCTTTGTGTTCGATTTGTTAGGAAGTTGAAGATCCATCTCCCCACTTTCCCAGTTATTCCTTTAGCACGTATTTTATGGGCTATTACGCCATGATCGCATTTGTCAAATGCTTTTGCAAAGTCTGTGTATATTACATCTGCATTCTGATTTTCTTCCAGTGCATCCAAGGCCACGTCATAGTGATCCAGTAGTTGTGAGAGGCAGGAGCGACCTGCCCTGAACCCATGTTGCCCTGGATTGTGCAGATTTTTGGGAATCCAGGTGATTTGCAATCCTGCTTCTTAGCACTCTTTCAAAGATTTTTATGATGTGGGACGTCAGAGTTATTTGTCTATAGTTCTTAGCTAATGCTTTGCTGCCACCTTTATGGAGTGGGGCTATATCCGTTGTTTTAAGTGACTGTGGAATTTCACCGATGTCCAAGCTCCTCCTCCATAGTGTACTTAGGGCACGCGAGAGGGGTTTCTTGCAGTTCTTAATGAAAACAGAGTTCCACGAGTCTGGGCCCGGGGCTGAGTGCATAGGCATGTTGTCAATGGCTTTTTCGAAATCTATCGGAGTTAGGGTAATGTCGGAAATCTGGCATACATTTATGGAGTTTTGAGGCTCATTCATGAAGAAATCATTTGGGTCGTCGATCCTCAGACCGATTAGTGGTTCACTAAACACAGAGTCGTACTGGGATTTCAATATTTCACTCATTTCCTTGTTGTCATCTGTGTAAGTCCCATCCTGTCTAAGTAAGGGCCCGATACTAGATGTGGTATTTGCCTTGTTTTTGGCATATGAAAAGAAATATTTTGAATTTCTTTCAATTTCACTAATAGCTTTAAGCTCCTTCTGCCTCTCCTGGTTCATGTAAGAGTCATTTAGCTTAAGTTCGATAGTTTCCACTTCCCTGGTCAGCGCCTCCTTTCGTGTATCAGATGTTCTAGCACTCCTGAGGAGCTCAGTGACTCTTCGTCGTTTTCTGTAGAGGGAGCGTCTTTTTCTCTCCAGTTTACTCCTGCTCTTCTTCTTTCTTAGGGGAATATGCCTAGAACATGCTTCGGCTACCAGGAAGTTGATCCTTTCAAGGCACTGGTTTGGATTTCCATGTCATTTAAGACATCTTCCCAACATGTTTCGTTTAGGACATGGTTTACCTGGTCCCAGTTGATGTTCTTGTTGTTGAAGTGGCAGTGGCACTACCTTAAACAGAAAGAAGTGCCAGATTAGCCAGGCATATATACATGTATTTTATATATATTTTATATATATATATATATATATATTATATATATATATATATATATATATATACCTCAGCGAGAGTATAACATCCCATTTCACGCATAAATAGCCACTTATTACCACTTATATTCCACTTAATCAACGCTGTGTATAACGAAAACTACACTGGGGGTAAACGATAATCTTTACAGAGAAATCAACATTTCAATTTCAATTTATTACAGAATTTTGAAAATACGGGGAATACACAAATACTAGTGTATTACCGCTTATACAAAATATGGCAGTGACTCACAGTAGTGACTCCCTATAGCATTGACTTTTCATAGGAGTGACTTCCCACAGCAGTGATTTCTGTGGTAGCGTATGCCTGGTTTATTTCACTCTGCCTCCTCTCACTAAACCAGTAACAAGAAACACCTTTCTTGTTCAGAGTATATTTGTTTAGGAGTCATCAGGAAGTATGTGGCAGTCCTTGTCTCTTTACAGCGGCTGATTGTGAGTTTACCTGAGAGCAAATTAAAGACATGTAGTACTTAGGGCGAGCGAGTACAGAGGAGCAGTTCTGTGCTGGACCGGTGGTGTGGGGGGGGGGCCTGTGCTGGACCACTTTAAAGGATGTGAGAGTACAGTTTTGCAGCCCTGTGCTCGACCACTTAAGGCCAGATAGTTGGCGGGAGTGAAGTGTTTCATCAAGTGTCTGGTGCTGCGTCTTATGAATAAACTCTTGCTTCTCCGTCTCATCTTCTTCTTCCTGCCTCAATCCTCTAATCTTCTCTATTACTCCTCCTTGCCTCCTCTTACACCATCTCCTTCTCCACTTCCTCTTACTCCACCTTCTTCTCCACGTCCACCTCGTCTTCCCTTCGATGTCTCGACCCACACCAACACATTCCACGTCAGTTTGAATAAGTTTGAAGGACTGTGTTTACATTAGGTAGCATTTCTCGAGAATCACTATTATGCCTCTTATTCATTCAACATGAAGAATCCAACACCTTCCAATGCAAGACAGATCTGCGCTCTGTGTATAACTTTTGAGTTATGATTTAAATAGAGCTCTACACAGAGGGGAAATATTGCTCCGATAAAAGCTTTCACTGTGACGTGCATATTTCTGCTCTAAAGTCGGCAGTACGCCAAGCCAGGCTCAAGCTCCTGTTGTATTAAGCCACTCTCCCTCCCCCTACTGTATCAAGCCACTCTCCCTTCCTCTATTGCATTAAGTTACACTTCCTCCCCTATTGTATCAAGCCACTCTCCCTCCCCCTACTATATCAAGCCACTCTCCTTTCCCCTATTGTATCAAGCCACTCTCCCTCCCCCTACTATATTAAGCCACTCTCCCTTCCCCTATTGCATCAAGCCACTTTCTCCCTACTGTATCAAGCCACTTTCTCCCTACTGTATCAAGCCACTCTCCCTTCCCCTATTGCATCAAGCCACTCTCCCTTCTCCCTATTGTATCAAGCCACTCTTCCTCCCCTACTGTATTAAGCCACTCTCCCTTCTCCTATTGTATCAAGTCACTCTCCTTTCTCCTATTATATCAAGCCACTCTCCCTCCCCCTACTGTATTAAGCCACTCTCCCTTCCCCTATTGTATCAAGCCACTTTCCCCTCCCCCTATTGCAGAGGTTCTTAACGAGGAGTATCCACACCCTTTAGGTAACCAAGTAACGAGGTTATGGGACTATATGAACAACTTACTGTTTTTCTATAAATATACGTAATAAAATCCTTATGATTTTCTTTCAGTTGTTGTGTTGGTAACTGTCTATATGTCAAAGTAAAACCGAGCTACTGATATCTCTTCAGAATCGTAATGGTACCTAACAGGACTGGTGATGATGGTGATGATTTACACAGTCTGGTGAAAGGGGTATGGGAACATACTGGGCAATGTATTGTGAGGCTGTTATCGTAATAAGGTTAATAACCTCTGCATTATACCAGGCCACGTATCCCTCCCCTCTGCCCCTGCCCCCTGCCTGTCCTGGCTACTTACTCCACATACTTCTTAGAGCCAACATATAGGAGTGGGCTATCGCCAAAGTTTGCCAAAGCAATTATTTATGAAATTAATAAAAGTGTTTGCTCCCACGAAACTCATAAATAATAGTAAGTCTGGGTACAATGTTTCAAACTTTATTAAGTATGGCGGAGTATATTGCCTACCACGCCAGTATGTCTGGTGTATAAGAACATAAGAATGGGAGGCGCTACAACAGGCCTGCTGGCCCTTACTTGGCAGGTCATTCTCATACTCAAC